TGCAACATAATTCACAGGTTACACTTCCACACAACATAATTCACAGATTATACTTTCACACAACATAATTCACATATTACACTTCCACACAACATAATTCACAGATTACACTTCCACACAACACAATTCACAGGTTACACTTCCACACAACATAATTCACATATTACACTTCCACACAACATAATTCACATATTACACTTCCACACAACATAATTCACAGGTTACACTTCCACGCAGCATAATTCACAGGTTACACTTCCACACAACATAATTCACAGGTTAGAGTTTCATAAAACATAAGACAATACAACAGAGTGAATACAGTAATACAATGTGGGTTGGGGGTACCCTATTTGAAACCTCATGTACTGAACGATTTAGACACAATAACATTTCTGCCAAAGTAGTGTGAAATAGAAGTATGCTATTGACCCCCCCCCCCCCCGATATCAAATGGTCATCCTTCAGCCGAAATATATTCAATTGCAATACATTTTTTATTATTTAACATTGACGTGAATATAATAAAAACATTACACGCTAGACGATATATGTATAGATAACCAAACAATACAATTTAGTATAACCAACAGAAATGAAGTTAGTTTTAATATCTTCATTGCAAAATGTGCATTCCCGGAGTAACCATTCGTTAATAATGCATGGTCTGACAATATACAATATGCGCAACAATAAATTCCCGTCCAATTGTTACTTTCACACAGAATGGGACAATGGACTCATATACGATTGAGTTCAACAAAGGCGTATTGATTAAATGACCAGTAAATTAAACAATTTTGCCAGCTTGTATACTCATCCACGTTTTCTCATTATCAGATCACAGCCTAACTTGACAAGGGTCTGATGTTAGTATAGCTCTTCCATGATTAAACATCAAACAAACCATTATTGCTGTTTTCATGTAAATCATACCCCTAAATGACACAATGTCAACAAGTGAAGGTCGGTGGCAGTAATTGTTAGCAACGGGGAGAAATTATACTGCTACTGTGAGAACTCTCTAAACTTGAACACCCTTGTCATTTTGTTATACATGATTCTATCATACATTATGACATGATAGCTAGGGATATTCAAATCAAATACACAAGCCATGTATACACATTAATGATTAGCAGTGGTATACCATGTTTACTCTATTATTAACCTTGCTGCTGTTTAATCAATTTTTCAGAGATTTTCTAGTTTTTCTTTCTTTCTTTCTTTTGTTGAATTTCAGTGTATATTAATTTTAGTGTGTCTTATTTTATTTGTCTTTTGTAATCATTTTTTACCTTACTAAACCCACAGATGGTTAAGTTGTGTAATAAAGTTATCATTATTATTAATAGAGCATACACTTAATATGTAAATTACAGAGGTGTTTCTAAATTCTATGGTCGAAATAAGTATTAGTAATATTTTAATGATTCAGAATACAACTAATTTTTGGTTTATATGAACTCCTGTTGGAGTGCGCTTGTAATAGAGCAATTACAGTATTGTAACTTAATGCCCACTGGTTTGGTATCAGATAACGCATAACAAATTATGTACTTACTGTCCACTGTTTCCATTGCCCCAACAATAAATATCATTGCTATCTAGAAAAAAGAAAACAAACAAGGAATTATAAGGAAATACAGTTTTCATCAAATGTGAAATTACATAATTTTCTAATCCAAGCATGTTTGAAGCTGCCTTTTCTACTATTTCATCTAGCTTTGTTTTGTTTATTTTACCATGAAACGGAGAACTTAAATGTATTTCATTGTTAACATTGTATGGACTTAATGCTGTTATAAAAAAGAATTGAATTTGCTCTTTGGGCCAATGACCTTTTGCTTTACAATAAACATAAACATCTGAAAATACATGTAAAGTCTGCGTCTGATGAACTCAGAACTTGATTAGAATTAAGTTAAATTATTTAATTTTAATTGAATTGACTAAAATAGAATAAAATAAAATTAATTCTTTAAAAGTAAAACTACATGTATGAGTGTATATATTTCATCTTCCATACTAAACAGTGCACGACTAGTGAGAGACTGAGCCAGTCACCTAAACACTGGAAAAACTGGGAATGTACCAGCAATGATATTTTTATAATTAACCTTTTCACCACCACCATTTTTCTGCACTTTTTTCTTATACATGTATATTCTTCAATAATTTTGGAAATGAAGTCTAATTTTGGAGCCAACAGACAAAATTTGAGTTAACTTTCAGTTTTTACTCAAAAAATGTTGTCATAATCTTCTGAAGGAAAGTGCAGACTATAAACAGAACTATATTGTGATTTTGTGATGAAAAGAGGGAACTGGTGGTGAAAAGGTTGAAAGAATACACACAGACATATTGTTAACATCATCAAACTAAAAACATTTTTGTGGTATTTAAGAAAACTCATTAAGGTACATCAGGTTTTAAATGGGATACAGTGATATCATTCTTACACAACCATCGCCTATATTTAAATGAGGTGGTCAGTACCACTGTCTGACTTCAAATGGCCGTCACTAAATAAGTGCGATACCTGTTTGTTGTTATTTGTACTTTGTTTTCAACAGTGCTATGAACTACCTCTACTATTAACCGCCCCCTGAATGCTATACAGAATTAACCAAACTCAAAAGTCTCCTTGCCCTCAGGTGATTCTTCAACAACAAAAAAACGAGGGTCAATACTCCATTATTATATATCAATGAACAATTCCTTTTGCAGAGGATGGAGACTTTACACAGGTATGTAAATTGAAAGTGAACAATTGATAATCCAAAGTGTGACAATAGATAAGCTGTCTTACTTATTTGCATAGAGAGTATTGTTTCGAGATCGGTGGATAGGAAGTTACTGAAAGTTTTTTAAGTTTCTGTTGTTGGGCACATCAGTAGAACATTCCTGAGCATGAGTGACGCGCGTGGAGACGACAATTAGGCGATAGTGCATGGATTACCCGAGGCAGTGTGATCGTTCATTGATAATGACTGAATGAACTGTCACGCAAAATCCCACACTAGAAAGTACAACTGACAAATTTATACCGATCGTCAACGACCCCCCCCCCTGTCAAATATATGCAAATAATTGATTACTGTAGAATACTTTATTTTCGCTTGGAATTTATTTTCGCTATTTTCGCTGAAGGGATGATTCCGTGAAAATAAAATCCAGTGAATATACTTTTTTTCCTATATTTCACATTAAACTCATGAAAAATCAGTGAAAATAAATTCCAAGCAAAACGCCCAAAAAGCCTTTTCAGCGAAAATTAATTCCAGCGAAAATAAAGTATTCCACAGTATATAATGTAAAAATATCTAAAACATAGTAAAATTGTGGGGGGGGGGGGATTTTTACATGGTCAAGTGTTTTACTAGTATTAACAGTATCTATAAACAGTTAAATTTTGAGAATTTAAGATTGATTGAATGAATGTGCAATATCCTATTTTTTTTAAAGAAAACGATTTTTTTCATACTTATGTTGACGTACAAATGTTCACACATAAAGGTATATCATGGTAAACTAAGTTGCATCAAAATTTAGAAATGCTGGTTTGAAGTTAAACTTTTTTTAACTATGGGAAAGAGAAGAAAATAAATTCATAGTACTGTGTAGGCTTTTATCACGTAGCCAATGAATGATTCCTGACTTTCACTTACATCACTGACTTACATGTAGTGGTCAGTGCCCGGCATTTGACATACATTATGTACGGATATGTTTGGTCTATAGCTACATGTATACCGTATTTGGCACTTGAATGATAAAACCACAGATTATCAGAATTACAACATGAAACAGGTGAATTCAACCTCAAAAATGCACTTTCCCTTAAAACACAGATTATAATAGTTTTCTGGCATCAACCACGTTGTCACTAAAAACAGATGAACTGCCCCTTAAAACACAGAATATAATAGTTTTCCGGCACCATTCACGTTGCCACTAAAACCAGACTCACTGCCCCTCAAAATACAGAATATAATAGTTTTCTGGCACCAACCACCTTGCCACTAAAACCAGACTCACTGCCCCTCAAAATACAGAATATAATAGTTTTCTGGCACCAACCACCTTGCCACTAAAACCAGACTCACTGCCCCTCAAAATACAGAATATAATAGTTTTCTGGCATCAACCACCTTGCCACTAAAACCAGACTCACTGCCCCTCAAAATACAGAATATAATAGTTTTCTGGCACCATCCACGTTGCCACTGAAACCAGAATCACTGCCCCTCAAAATACAGAATATAATAGTTTTCTGGCACCATCCATATTGCCACTAAAACCAGACTCACTGCCCCTCAAAAGACAGAATATAATAGTTTTCTGGCACCAACGACCTTGCCACTAAAACCAGACTCACTGCCCCTCAAAATACAGAATATAATAGTTTTCTGGCACCATCCACCTTGCCACTGAAACCAGAATCACTGCCCCTCAAAATACAGAATATAATAGTTTTCTGGCACCATCCACGTTGCCACTAAAACCAGACTCACTGCCCCTCAAAATACAGAATATAATAGTTTTCTGGCACCAACGACCTTGCCACTAAAACCAGACTCACTGTCCCTTAAAATACAGAATATAATAGTTTTCTGGCACCAACCACCTTGCCACTAAAACCAGATGCACTGCCCCTCAAAATACAGACCTCGGCGGAGATAGCTCTTTTGTTAGCAGTGCAACATTTCAATTAAAGAATTGAAGATATCATTACACAATAAAAAAATCTGAGAGAGGTCCACCTGCAGTACCTATATATATAATATCAAATCAATCAGACTTGCGGTTTTTAAAAAAAGTCAAAAATATCATTGTTTACCATATACATATATACCAAGTATTAAAACAATCAGGTTTGTAGTTATCAAGAAGAAAAAAGTATGACGACAGACAGTCACTCATATATTAAGCTCTGTTCGAAAAAGTCAACAGCGGAGCTAAAAATAAACGGGCTGGTTACTGATATTAACAAGAATGAGACTTTAATCAACAATAAATGATTCTCGAAAAGACATAATTATAAAATACTACTTTTTTTATCAAAAATGACAAAAACATTTGCAACAATCAGAGAATGGAAGTTAACATTACGAAATTAATAAATGCTATTATTATACATCTGTCACCGTAACGCCACAAGTTATATAAGGGGTATTTTCATCCTACCGTTTTAGGCAATGCAAATTCCAAATATGCAATGATTACACACATAATCATTGATAATAATAAAAACAAACATGGCTGCCACCAGAGTTTGACAGGATTCAACACAAGTTCGCTGATTCTGTTCTAAACATTTTGGATTTCAGCATTCCCATGGTGTATCCTTAGAAGGAAAAGACGTATAATAATAAGGTTATTATGAGAATACCTCAAAGTATGCACTCAGACAGTACGCCGCGCATCGACCTTCGCTGCGCATCAGTTGATACTCCAGCTGTACTGTCTTTGTGCATACTTTGAGGTATCCTCGTAATAACGTCATATTATGCACACTTCTATTAAAGATGCATCCTGACAGAGCAAATATAGTAATTATGTTATTATATGAATTATTACATGTTATTCATAATATTGTTACTTTTTCGAAATAGCAACATTAGCAAAAAATAGCCTTAAGCTAAATTAAAGCAAAAAAAAATTTAAGTATAATTAATCAGCAATGTCTTTACGGTTGATTACATAACACACGTTACGCTTACTTAAATTAAGCGTCATGACACTCTGTTCAAGTACATGATAAATGTAATGTCAATGTCTGTGTAATTTATGCTTGACTTAAAGGTGCTATATATACGGTAAGAGATTTATTTCTCGCAGACAAACAGTGAGAGTAAGATATCATTACACAATAAACAAAATTAAAAAATTGAAACGAAATTAAAAAATCTGATAGAGGTCCATCCAAATTGGGCCAGCTGTTTTCAAGAAGAATAGCATTTAAAGTTGACGCAGGCGGACAATCAGAAATATGAATAGCTCCACTTTGTCAACAACAGATCTAACAAGAGAGTAGCAAGAACGACCATGACATTGAAACATAAACAGAGATTATCAGCTGTACGTATTGTTGATGGCATTTACAAAGTAAAAAGCCATTTAATTGTTGTGTACATGTATCCTTATCTGAACTTCCAGAATGTGAGTGGTAACCAAGCATAAAACATTTTTATTATCATTCCAGAATAATCCTCCTGATCTCCTTTGTAGCTAGCAGGTTCTACAAAAGGCCAGAGATATTGCCGCTAGATTTAAGTCATTGATGGGCATGTTCACCTGACAAGTAGCCTGGTACAATTTTATTGCATCTAATATCCTGTGACAAAAGGATGATTATAAGGCTTTGCTACTACTTGACTGAGATATTTCCCTCAGGGTGAGTTTGTAATCTTTCTGTCATGGTTAATACCTGTATACAGCAAGAATTTACAATAGTCTGTGGTTTTTTACAACCATGGAGAGATGCGATAAAGAAGAATGAAAAAAATATGCACGTACATGTATATATACAGCTCGTAATCATTTATGAAGGGTGTGCGGCAAACTGTGCAATTCGGCTTTTACGGGGGATGATACTTGTAGACCTCTCAATCAGAGTTTGAACTTTAATGTAAGGCCGAGGGTACCCCATTTTCAAGGCCAGAATCGATAAAATTGGGCTCAGCATTTAATCGGAATAATTCCCTCACACATCAAGTACTGTAATGAATATGAAAAATCTACATCGGCCAATTACACACACATACCAAAATATTTCAGAGGATGAGCATGTAGAAAATGTAAATACTTGCAATTTTGGGGAAATTATGAATTGAAAACAAATCGTTTAAATGAAACAACAAATTTAATCTCTGGAAAAATGGCTCTTCAAAAATATTCTGATATGAAATATTGAAACGTGAATACTATTAGTAGTGTATGTTCATAGGTAAATTACAGAGGCATGTCCATGGTCAAAATATATCATATTTTTATGATCCAGCATACAATAAATGCTATTATTATACATCTGTCACCGTAATGCCACAAGTTATATAAGGGGTATTTTCATCCTACCATATTAGGCAATGCGAATTCCAAATATGGAATGATTACACACATAATCATTAACAATAATAAAAACAAACATGGTTGCCACCGGAGTTTGGCAGGATTCAACACAAAGAAGTTCGCTGATTCTGTTCTAAACATTTTGGATTTCAGCATTCCCATGGTGTATCCTTAGAAGGAAAAGATGTATAATAATAAGGTTATTATGAGAATACCTCAAAGTATGCACTCAGACAGTACGCCGCACATCGACCTTCGCTGCGCATCAGTCGATACTCCAGCTGTACTGTCTTCGTGCATACTTTGAGATATCCTCGTAATAACCTCATATTATGCACACTTCTATTAAAGATGCATTTCTGACAGAGCAAATATAGTAATTATGTTATTATATGAATTATTACATGTTATTCATAATGTTGCTACTTTTTCGAAATAGCAACATTAGCAAAAAATAGCCTCAAGCAAAATTAAAGCAAAAAAAAATTTAAGTATAATTAATCAGCAATGTCTTTACGGTTGATTACAGAACACACCTTCGCTAACTTAAATTAAGCGTCATGACACTCAGTTCAAGTATATGATAAATGTAATGTCAATGTGTAATTTATGCTTGACTTAAAGGTGCTATATATACGGTAAGAGATTTATTTCTCGCAGACAAACAGAGAGTAAATCATCAACTTGACATACTAAGGGAGGCTAATCACCTTATTTTACATAACTCTATCATAAAACCACTTTATTTATGAGATCAACACTGTCGACTGCACAAGTACATGTATGTATTTACAATGACGCAGATAGCATGGAGTTGATAGTAATAAAAACGCCATATCTCCCCTCTCCATTCCTAGCCCATTGGTCAAAAACCGAGAGTACCATATGATATTCTTAGACTACTGCTGAGTAGGTATTCACCGCAAACCCATAGACGCGCATAGAAACCATGGATGTTGAAGCACAACAGTCGTCACACAGCGTGTTAGAAATACTGCATGTAACCAACATCGAACAACAACAACAACAACTGTGGTACTTTAAATACATTTATGTTTATTTTTCAATGGCTGTAAAGGTGTATTGATTATTATTGATCAATAATCGCTTGATTTGATTATCTTTTTGAATATTGAACCCTTGAGTTGTCAGTATGACCTAGCTCAGAAAGATCCAACGCAGTCATGTTTTTTTTCTCAATACTGTATTGCTCGTTACTGTGTGTAGAAATTTTTTTCAATGGTTTCTTGAGTCATCAGTAGCAGTAGGATGGAAGCTACATGACAGATGTTTTCTAAATACACATTAAGTAAATGTTTTGCAGAGTGTAAGAAAATTTGTATTGATTAGCTCGACAAATACCGGTAATTGATTGATTGTTATATTTGTGTAACCGCAATGTTTTTTGTGGAATATGGACTTTTGAGTTGTTGAGTTGTCAGTGTTATCTAGGCAAGTAATTTGACACAAATTACAGTTCTTCAGACAATCCCCTCCCCCTGAATCATGAGAACAATAGCAGCCTACTTATTAGGGACAAATTAGAATAACGTCAAACAAATCCTGCGATATCTATGTTCAATTACTTGAGGGAATGTGAGGAAACAGGAATATAAACATATACTTACAGGTGACAATGATTGTGTGACTAGCACCACAGGCAATCAGCTTAACACAGCTGGATGGATGATCCACTTTGGAGAAATTATCAATAAGACCATGCTGAACGTCAATGTCGGTTTTGATAGCACCATGTCCATGCTGTCCAAATTCGCCGCATCCCCAGCCAATCAGCTGACCGCAGCTTGACTGACCATTTGAAACAGGTGTCTTCATAGCTCTGTCCTCAGCGTCTACCTCCAAGTTGTCATGGTCCTCAGACTCACTCTGTAATAAACTACTGCTTGTTGCGTTGACTGTGATATTTTGCAACGACGTCTCCAAACTTGGAATTGAATCTAAAGTTGACATGCTCATGCCTATAGTCTATTTAAACGTCATCCCGGTGTGACCGTAAACAGCTTGAAAAAATTTGTACAAATTTTGCTCCACTCTGAGAAACTGATAACTGTTTGTATATTATTAACATGTTATAATGGAAGTGCCACTTGGCAGTTGTCGTGTAAATGAATTTACAATCTAAAAATAAATTCTTAATCAATTATCGTCTTACGAAACTAGACAGCTTCGATTACTTAGTATCTGAAGTCATTTTGCATTGTTTGTGCTCTGTAAATATCGAATGAAATTACTAAAAATACAAAATATTTGCATCCAGGTTTAGAAAACAATTAGCACTTATCCCGTTGATTATAAATACCCGGTACTATTTTTGCTGTTATTTTGACGATTTTTTGTCGTAATTTGTCACAGTGAGTAACAGACTGCAATTAATTGAAAAAAGCAGAAAAAATTAACGAAACCGAAAAATGCGAAACTGAAAGCTTCGGGGTCTATCTTGGGTTGGTTCTTCACAAGAATGGTTGAGAGCATATAGTCTTTTGATCTATAAAAAAAAAAATCATTATTGTCAGAGTAGAGTTCATAGACTCCTGAACAAAGGATGAACACTATATACTATTGTGTCTGTCGTGGGACACTACTAAACGAGGCGACTCTGTCACTAAGGTTATTGACAGGACCAACAAACTATGTGCACACACATATCGATAACAACTGACAATTGGTCACCAATGAGCTGGGACAAGGTGAAAAGACAAATTTCTCCAGTAGGCAGATAATTTGCTGCGGGTTTGCATTTGCAATTTCTTAGGAACAAAATTTAAATTTTTTATTTCATATTTTAATTTCAATCTGTATAATATTATACATGCATTTTCCTATGATGGGATGGGAACATGATAATACAATATGTATTTGTGGTTAGTGAGTTTTCCAAACATCTACAAAAATATACAACAGGACTTGAAACTTCACTGAGGCATTTGCATTAACTTGATGCCCAATGAATTTGCCTCAACTGTGCCCTTTTCATATTCCCTGTATTATTCCTATGACAAGATAATTTTATTAATTTTGACTTTGAGTGCTCTCTCAACTCTTAAGTTCAAGTCCTGTTTACAGTATATCACAAGTGTGGTATTTTATATTCTAATACAACATCAGAGATATAAGCTACGTTCACGTTAGGGATCTTGGTAAATTTTTAATCCAGTATGGTTGGAGTGGGATTACAGCAGTTTCATTTATGTTAATCGAGACCCACTCAGCTCGTGCTGAAATTACGCCGTCATCAATCTGTTAATTGACCAAAACATGGTACGTTTTTTTTATGAAATCATTTATTATGAGCCTCATGAACGTGCACATGAAAGTATTCAAAGAAAAGTTATTTTTCATGTTGATGTAGCAGTGCAAAAAAAAACATACATAAGCAACATGCGTCTGCGACAATGTTCATTTCATTGTTACTACAGCATCGGATCATATCTAGCTGCACTTCCCTTCGTTACGATGTCACACAAATATGAATCAGTATATGTTCTCTTAAGTGCGAGGGGGTGATTTCAGTTCGTGCTGAGCGTTCAGGCAGCAAATCTTGGCTTGTGTCGAGTTTCACTTCCAACTCTCTATTTGGACCGAGATCCCTAAAGTGAACACCACTATAGACAGCAGTTTACAAATAATAGGGAAACAGAGAGGCGGGAATGTTTAACCAGAAGTATTGACTAAACTCATTTGTTGCAGAGAATTTGCTACATTTTGGGTGTGAAACAGTAAATTTAAGAAACAGGCCCTTTGATTGAAATGATTGAACAAATGTCCAGTGTGCATCTGAGCACTGCCTTTAAAAACCGGAGTAGGTCGGATTTTAATATATTTTCTTTCATTAGACATTAATTTCTTTCTTCTAGCTTGCTGAGTGAACAACCCATACCATGTTGTATGACGTATACAATAAAGTCTCCCCAATTTGGCCAATATAATTGATAATAGAGTTAGTTTAGTTTAGATTAGGAACGGCAATAAATTTTAGGTGAGGTACGGTTATCGAAACCACACATATTTTTTTTTCATTTAGCCTATAGCGATTACAAATGTAGCAGACCAGATGGCAAAAACAACAAGTCTGCAGCAATTGTCTATATCTTATTATAAATGTCCTTTTAATACGTGTACTGGTTTAACTATGGTAATTTGTAAACCATTTTATAGTCTAAGCAGTTGGGCAGTTGTTTAGGGGCAGAGATGCACATAAATTGTCAAACTGCAATTTGTAGAACAAATCACAGCATCCAGAATAATTTTGGAAAATCTATTATACAGTTATAGTTCGAAAAATATGTTTTTTTTCTGATGTAATATTATATTATTGATATCTGCCGCATAGTATCATTCAATAGACCATTTTTCGTTCACTGCAAAATCCTATATTATTCATAAAAACAGAATAAATAAAGATCATAACCTTGTCAAAAAATTGAGTGTGATTTCACAAACAAGAAAATATTTTGGGGATATTTTGACGCTTAATAATGTGTTATGCACATTTGATTATGAACAATTTTGATGAAGTAAGTGTATCTTAATGCAATATTCCCCTCTTAATGATTGGCATTTTGACATTGAGCTATAAAAAAATTCAAAAAATTTGCGACAGACGTTTGGTCGGCGCATTTCACATAATATGCATGATCTCGCAATGAAAGAAAAATCACATATTCTCATTTATTCATAAAAGCACATGCATTAATTTAATTGAAAACAATTTATACAACTTATTGCAAAAAACAAATTTAGGCAAATTATTATTTTTGTGGCAAAATTTTTGAATTATGCAGCAGTGAGTTTGAGATTTTTTTTCCTCCACAAAGTGAATGTACAAACTCCATATATCAATCAGAATCAAATTAAAACTATTGGCCCACAAAAATTATATAAATGAATGAATGACTTTTCTCCAAAGATTTCTGAAATTATTTTGAAATATTTTAAAACAGCATTGTATGCTGAGACACATCTTTCAAGTTCTTTTGTTTTACAACAACATGCATTTTCAAAGTGCTTGTCTACTTACAAACAAGCACTAATCTAAGCATCTAACGGTAATCGATCACATGTCACCTGGCATCTGTTCAGCAGAAACAGCATGTGATCCTGGGCAGACAAATCAGCATAACCTCAGTGTGGTACACAACACTGATACAAGTCTATTTAATGCCACCGCAAAACCGTGAGAAATGACCAACAAGAGAGAACGAGGACGATAAATAATCAACCACCTTGCCTGCCTTACAAACAGTGAGACTCTAGAGGAAAGCTAATGATGGTCAATGGCACTCATGAGATATGGACCTAATTTACGCTAGACAACTACATTAGAAATAAATTAGATTTGCCCATATTGAGAGCACACACCAATTGGATTGGTAATGAATGAATAGATTGAGAGCAGTACAGTACAGTATAGTATAGAGACGCATTGCTGAATCTATTTGTCCATTCAATCAACGATAATACCTCTTGTTATAAATTTGCGATTACAATACAATTCACGGTGAATAACAACGTATTGTGTCTCCATCCCCATGCAATTCAAAGCTGATTACGTTATGCTTTATGCAAGACACAATGTAGCCTCGGGACATGGAAAGCTCCCTTACGAGTGAATTCACTGAGGTCTGTATTACACTAGGGTGTTGCACAACAGTAGAAAATACAATACAACGCGACATGACCACATGTCTGTGAATTCAACCATTCTGACATTAGTAATACATGTATGTTCACGACTTGAAGTTCCATAAACTGAGGATATCCAGCTTTAATGTAGAAACTTTAATAATTGTGACAGAATTATCTAGGCATTATCTTGAATATGAAGCCTTGTACTTTTACCAAAGAGAAAAAAACACAGTGGATCCTGTTTGCCTGAAAGGCAAGAAGTGATCATGTTACTGTGATCGAAAAATCAACCCAACTAGCAGTACTGCACTGTAGCTCACTGTTTTATTAACAGAATAGCAATATTCATATCATCTGGGCTTGTTTCTGAGAGATGTATGCAACATGTATATGCTTCATTGTATGAGAATTTATTTTTTACACTCAATCAATTTTTAATACACTTAATTTTATCCTGATTATAGAATTAAATATTAGATAATTTATTTTGATTACAAACTGAATTAATAATAAATTAATAATAAATAATTCAGGGAATAGAACTTGTACCCATTGCATATACATTTTTTTTTTCACCAACTGCAATCATGAGAAACTGTATTAATCAAGCTTTGATGATTGTATTCAAGAATGTTCCATTCTAATAAAGAAAGGTTATTACCCTATGACAACTCTTCTGATATCGCATCATATGAGTGACAAGTCAAAATAAGTTCACAATTGATGCAATGTCAAGGAGTTCCCAGACAATAACATCATTAGCATACATGGTTCTACCAATGTTGATACCTTACACACAAAAAAAAGGTGATTCAACAGCGAATTCCTTCCATGATATTCGGAAAATCAGCACAATCACTGGTAGCATACTGCAAACACCACACGTGCATGTATATACATGTAGCTTAACAATTTAAATTGTTCGTGTTTCAGTTGATGAGGGGAATCACAACACCATCAACTAATCCTTTCTCTCCGAGTTCCCTCAAACATTCCCTTCTGCCATGTGAGAGCAGTACAAATACGTCATTTGCACGATTCAAACTGTTTAAGAGTATATGGTGGGGTGAAAATTCAACATGGCAGCTACATTGATATATGTGAATTAACTGAATTGCTACTTCATCGCTTCACAACTTGTTTCTTTGACAAATTTTACAGAAAACTGTCTTAAATAAATGGGTACAGTGAAAGGACAATGAAACATGGTGCCAATATGACATGATTTGCCATGATTATCTATCCACAGAAGAAGCATAGTGTTAACAGGCATTAATATTCCTGTAAAAGCTAAAATTTCAAACGTTGCCATTTTATCAATGTTGGATCATTTTTTTTTACTGATAACCAATATTAGATGATATTTACTATACCAACAAGACTAGGCAAATATGTGCATACCACACTTTATATTAATATACATTATTACCCTTATAGACTTACTGCAAAGAAGAAAGCTATCTTGAATTTTGAAACTACATTTGTACATCAGTTAAATTGGCCTACGTGAAAAAAGACGTCTATCATAGAAAAATAACAACTACATACCTGACTACAAAGTATGTGACTGTTTGAAAACAGTCAATCATAACTGTTAATAAATAATTAGTATTGATGCATTACCCAGCAAGGAGTACTGTAAATGAATGCTTACATCCAATTATACATGACTGCAACATCTGAATCCGCAGTATGACAAATACAATGTATATCTAATACATGTGCATGTATATGTCAGCTACAACAGCTAACGTCACTTCATTCTTCCCATAGATCATGCCAGGTTGTTACGCATACATCCAAACTGTCCTTCACCTCTGAGCCAAATGAAACTAATAAATACTGTGGATACAGTAACAA